TATAATTAAATAGAATTCATGTACACATCATTCCATTTTTAATTGTTAGGACTTTCCTTATTTAAACGACACATTAACTTGTTATCACCCCCACCCCCAACCCCCAAATAATAATAATAATAAAATCTTGGATTTATGCTTAATTTATAAGAATTAAAGGACAAATACTTATGTGATGCGTTTTTATTACTTGTCATCTTTTTATTTATCCGCATCAAGCATGTAATTAAAATCACCACATGAAGATACATCTCTCAATTTTTCGTAGCAATAAAAGACACATAAAGTAGCAAAACCACAAATTTATTGTAGATCATACTCAATATGATAATTATGTTTAAATTATTTTTTATTCGTACGGTTCATACTCGATGAATTTAATTTTATAATTCAAAAAAATTATTAATTGTTGTTATTCATACAGTTGAATTCAACAGTACACTTTTGTTTCTAATAGAAACGTAGCAAATTTTTTATTAGTTCAATTGAAAGATTACAAAATTTGGATTGTATCATGAGTGAGCTTCTCGATACCAAGAAAATGTCTATAGATAAATGACATTTTTTTTAAATACTTTATTAATAAGCCCTCATTGTGGCGGAGGAATGCCATGTTTACACACTCGAACAATCGACACTATACCAATCAAGTAAGAAAGCATGCAGACTCAAAAGACACCATTGCCCTAACCTCAATCAACTTCTCACTTCCTCCAATACGCCACTCCCATCATATCCAAATGATGTAACCCTCAGCAAGCCTTGGCAGCTCAGTCCAAGTATTAAAACGTTCCGACAGGCCTTTTGCTCCCAATCCAGCTAAACAATCTGCCACTTGGTTCCCTTCTCTCCATTGATGTGCCGCTTGATAATCAAATTGCTGTAATAAATTCAAAAGATTACCCCAGAAGTCCCATAGATACCACAAAGAGCATTTCAAAGAAGAAAGCCATGACACCACCAACGCTGAGTCACACTCAATGTTGATATGGTTTACACCAAGCTCAAGACATAGTTTTAAACCTTCAATGAGTGCTCTCAATTCAGCTTCATTGTTGGTGCCCTCACCAAAATAGGTACTAAAAGCTGAAATCAATTCACCTTTTTCATTTCTAATCACTCCTCCTTCGCCGATTTGTCCACGATTCCCAAGACTGCTGCCATCCACACTGAGTTTCACTCGATTATGATGTGGTTTTTTCCATGAAACCACTCGAATATGCTTCACTCTAATGGGTGCTTGAGGTATCTCCAACATTCGAAGCACATACTCATCATCACTAGTTAGCACTTTGGCATTTGACAGATTAAGAGAAACCTGTTGTAACCAAAATTTAATAGATAAAACCACATCCTTAACTGGTTCAATCTTACCCTCCATCCTTGCTTTACATCGTCTTGTCTAGAGCCTCCAAGTAATTAAACTTGGGAGCAAACCAATCAGACATCCCACCTTTGATGATCTTTTCACTCGTGTCCACCATAAATTGATTCTTTCCATCCAATTTTAACCTACCCTCCAGCACACACCAACCAATGTTCCAACTTTCTTCCACACCTTATCTGCAAAGTCTCCAAAGCTTAGAACATGAGATGCATTTTCCTCATGACCTGTAGAGCAACAATCACATTTTGATGCAAGGCTAATGTCGACTGACTTAATGCGTTCATCAACACTTAAACTCCCATTAAGAGCTTTCCACATGAGCACAGAGACACGCTTAGGCAAGGCGTTGTTCCATATCCAGGTCACCCATTCAACTTGAGCAGCTCGCACCCTCACCACCTCCCAAGCCGATTTTGCAGTAAATAAGCCTATTTATGTGGTTTCCAAATCAGCAAATTTGTTCCCCTTCTTCAAGTTCCAACCTGCCACCTTGTGATAGTAAACACATCGTCCAACCCGCAATTTTCTTCTGAATTTTACCAATCAGGAACTCTAAATATCGAGCACTTAGCCTTCCTTGAACAACTAGAATCCCCAAGTACAACATAGGAAATTGGCATTCTTTGAAGCCTATCTTCCGTATAGTAAAGCTTTTTTGTTCGATGGAGCTAGTTTTTGAGAAGAAAAAAAAAAGGCTGATTTTTCTTTATTGATAAGCTGCCCACACCAGTCTTCATACATATTCAACACCTCCATTAATCTTTTCATAGACCGTTTACTCCCATTAGCGAACATTACAAGATCGTCTGCATACATTAGGTGAGTAACCAAAGGAAAACCCCGAGGATGAGAAAAGCCCCCAATATATCCAGTATCAAATTTTTTCTTAAGCAATCTAGTCAAAACCTCCCGCATAATAATGAAAAGATAAGGAGAGAGGGGGTCACCCTGCCTTAGACCACGTCTAGACTTGAAAAAACCATGAGTGGTACCATTGATCATAATCGGAAACCAAGGCTTTGTTGTGCATTGATCAATCAACTGACAAAACTGTTTTGGAAAGCCAAAGGTTTGTAAAACATGCCTCAAGAAACGCCAATCCACCCTATCGTAGGCCTTTGCCATATCCACCTTAAACATTACATTTCCCCCTCGCATCTTTTTGTTCATAGATTGTACTAGCTCTTGTGTAAAAGCGATATTTTTAAAAATGCTTCTCCCAGCAATGAAAGCCCCTTGCTCCGCTGATATAATTCTTGGAAGTAAGGCAGCCATTCGTGAAACAAAGATTTTTGAAAAAATCTTATAGACTACAGAGCACAAACTGATAGGTCTGAATTTATCAAACCCAGTTGGTTTCTCCACCTTCGAGATGAGGACAATATAAGAAGCTGTGTAAAATCTAGTAAGCTCTCCTCCCCCAAAAAAATCTTGCGCCGCTTCAATCACTTCCTTTTTAACAATATCCCAACACTTCATAAAAAAGCAAGACTCAAACCCATCTAGCCCGGGGAAACTATCCATGGGAATTACAAAGGTGGCTTCTTTAACTTCCACCTCAGTCGGCATAGCACAAAGATATATCAAACTAGATAAATTTGGTACTGTCCCCATGTGTTCTTTAGTAAGAAATTTTCAAAGTATCTTACAACCTCCATATGTATTTGTTGGGGAGAGGATAGTCGAGTCCCATTCTCAAGTAACATTTGATCCAGCATCCTATTTCTGTGATGTTGAGCAATTACGGCATGAAAAAATTGTGTTGTTATCCCCCTCCCTTAGCCAACATTTCTTAGCTACTTGAGCGAGCCTGATTTCTTCTCATTTTTGCCATTTCGCTAGCTCAATGTTGGACTCCAAAAAATCTCGCTCCACCTTATCCGAGAATTTCTCTTGTAATGAATCTTCTAGTAACTCCACTCTCTCCTGTAGTTCTCATATAATGTGGCCAACCCTGCCAAAAACTTGTTTGTTCCATACTTTGAGGGCCGCTTTAGTCCTTTTCAACTTAGCGGCTAGCCTCTGTAGGCCTTCTAGCTCTACATCTTGGTTGCAATCTCTCCAAGCTTCCTTAACACACATCATGAAGGATTCATGTTCACACCACATACGTTGGAAGTGGAAAGGTGGGGAACCATATGAGATTTTGGGCTGCTTAAAATGTATAAGCAATGGGTAAAGATCAGATGTCTCCTTTGCTAGCAGTTTCAATCTCATATTCGGATACAAACTCGTTGCCATGGCATTAGTTAAAGTCCGGTCAAGTCGATCCCAACTCCTTGCTGTTCCATTTTGTCCGTTACACCAAGAGAACTTCCTTCCCTCCGAATTTAATTCCATCAGCCCACATCTATCAATACAATTATTAAAATCATCCATCACCCCCTACGCTCCAAATCATTTCTAGTGATATTAAAATAACCAGTCCAAGTTAAACCACTAACCATAATACTCTCCAGCTCCAACCATAACAACCTCATTTCCAAAGCATTACATTTAGCGTAAATGAAAGAAATCATCACTGTGCTTGACCCCTTTGTAAAGATGCCATGCATAGCTTGATTCGAAGCTCCTACCCAATCTGCTGTGAACTCTTTCCTCCAAAGAACCCAAATCTTGCCCTCTTCTAGCTCATTGGACATACAATTAGCAAACTTTAATTTTCTAGCCAACAACCTCATCTTACCTTCACTTTGAAAAGGTTCTAACACTACTAAAATAGCCACATTATGTTTTTGCACCAAACTACTTATCCTTCGCCTTGACGTGCCCACCCCCCGCACGTTCCAGATCAAAACTTCATCCATCATAAATCCAGTCTAGAAGGGCGTGCTCCCACCCCACCCTATGTGATAACCTTACCGAATGACTCTTATTTGTCCTCTTCAATAATTTTTCTAGTCCTGAATCAGATATACAATCAGCATATCCATCCTCATTCATCTCCCTATCCGCCCCATCATCTGTTACATTTCTAACCAAATTTCCATGTTTCACAATGTCATTCACATCCACCGTAATTAAGTCGCCTACCATTTCCATTTTACTAGAAATAGGGTCACTTGGAGTTGTATTTATATCCTCAATAAACACTTCCTGATATGAATTGGGTTGTTCTCTTATTCCATCATTCACTGGGTCTACTTCACCTTCTTCTAACACTTCAACTTGATTTTCTATTGAATTTTCCTTAGCATCCAAACAACTCTGTTCCCAATTTTAGACATTGAATTATCTAGATTTTGAGCTACATTGTGTGAATGTTGATAATCAACCTCGTCCTCACCAACAGTTGAATTCTTTATCATAGAACCATTCTCAATCTGTATCTGATCCCGGCCAGTAGCATGATGGCAATCTTGATTCTCCTTCGAATTAACAGAGTTTAATTTTCCTTCACCTGCATTAACATCCTTAATTCCATTCGACGCTGCATCATCGGTCTGTCCACTACTAACCATTTCTGCCTCATCGATTTGTTTAATGCCACTTGGCTCTGCAACATCAATCTGTTTTGCCTCCAACCTACTCCTTTTTGTATTTTTCGCCATCCCTGTTTCACCTTCACATTCGGTTCTTCTTTTTTATTTTTTCTAATAAGTATTTGTACATTTTACCCTACTCTGCAAACTGCTTCGAGATGTCCCTGTCTTCCACACTTCTTACAGTAGTAACCCATTTTCTCATACCTCACCTTCTGCCATATGGTCTTCGTGGATGATACCGATATTGGGAATCCTTTAACAACTGTATCCATTAAATTCAACTCCACACACATTCTAGCCCCTGTTGCCCTTGTTCGGTTCAAAGTGGCATGATCTGTACCCATATATCTTCCAAACAGAGTTGCAAACATCTGAAGACAATCCGGCCTATATAAATGCATTGCTAGTCTAGGGAGGAAAATCCATTGCGTCGCAATAGAAGGCTCTCTTTTCAGATCAAAATTCGGAGTCCGTTTGAAAATTCGAAACTTCATCCCCAGTAAGGATCTCCCCTCTCGAGCCCAAACATGAATGAAATCAGTTTCATTTTTCAATTGAATAAGCACGTGAACATCATCCATAAAACCGATTGTCAGTACCTCATTCAGCCCCCACATTTTCACCACCGTCCATCTCAAATCATCAATGTTTGGCCGAGTGCTCAAGAATTTCAGTACCAGAGCAAATCGCAAGTCATTCGCCAGTTTCTTCATCTCTTGATCTATAAATACAAAGCCCATCTGCCCATTAATCAGTGTTGGATATTTCATTGGAATAGGGGCTGATTTCATCACGTTTCCACTACTCATCTTTGCAACTTCAAGGAAAGATCTGCTCTGTTTATTCACCAAATCTATATTACCTGATCAGAAAGTGGCACCGACCCTAGATGGGTGGTTGTCACCATGGCAGACTCGGTCTGGCGTCGACGATTGGTTAGGTTTTTAGAGAGAGATAATCATCGAGTTTAGAGAGAGAAAAGATGTCTCAGTATGAAAATTACTTGAAGCATAACATGGTTTTCTGACATTAATGGGGTAGAATTATTTTTGAGTTGAAAGTTTTAAGAGTAGCAATATAGAGAATAAAAACAGCAGGAAAGAAGCAGAATTGCAGAATTTTTGCAAGAAGGAGAAGAGAAGAAGAAGGCTGCAGCAGGGGGAAAGAAACCCGGAGAAGAAGGAGAAATTAGGGATAAAAGGGAAGGAAAGGTTGAGGCACAAACATATCATTCATTTTCATCATTCATCAACTGTCTTTTAAAAAGCAATACAAGCATATAAATAACAAAAGTAAACCTAATGGTTATGGGGCTTGGCGGTGACCCATTAATAGAAGCCCAATGAAATAAAATATAAATAGTAATCCAAAACATAGATAAGAGTCCAAATAAGTGATGTCCTCATCAACTCTCTCGGGGTGGGAGAAAAACTCGACTCTGTCAAGTGGTTGAACTACCAGGGGGGACGAACTTTCTGACGAACCAAATATTGAAACTCAACAAATGATGAGAATGCCATTTGCAAATTATCCCCAAGCATATGATTTGACCAAGATGACCTGGACAAAAGAAGAGTTTGCTAATTTCTATAAAGTTCCAATGAATCTGGATCACGCTGTTGAAGTCTCTTTCTAGGGGTCCATGTACCATCAGAATCAAGTATATCCACCCAATGAACAAGAAAGCACTAAATCTCTCTATCATTGGTCAAAACAATCTGATCATCTAAAATAACATCAATCTCATCTTTGTGTGTTGTGATAGGTGATATTGGAGTAGACATAGCAAAAAATTCAATATAGGAATTCCCATGTGGAGGTAGAAAATGATCAGAGGGGTTAAAATAGCCGTTATAAGCAAGAAAGTCCTTAACATATAAAATAAAATGGTGGCCAAAATGTGAGGAAAGATCAATGACACATGTATTGGAACCAACATGCTTTAAAATTTCATAAGAACCAGCACTACGGGCTTGCAGTATAACATAATCCCCAATGTTAAATTCAAAATGTTGTTTATGCCAATCTGCTCGAAGTTTGTATAATGCATTACTTGTGTTAAGTTGTTTATTAATCTCAGTATGCAAGTCATGAAGATAATGTAAATGCTCCAGACAACGACACACTAGCATGCGGGGACATGGGAATAAGATTTAACGACCGCCTAGATTTATAACTATGAACAACTTCAAATGAATTTAAACCTAGAGACCAATTCATAGAATTGTTATACGCAATATGAACAGTTGGGGAGACCAAGTCCCAATTCCCAATATTTTTCTAGACTTGAGACTTGAATAAATTGCTATGACTTTGGTTAAAGACCTCATTTTGACCATCAATTGAGGTTGGTCAGTAGTCAAGAATTTCGATTTAGTGCTAACCATAGGCGACTGAGTTCTCCAAAAGTGACTTGTGAAATAAGGGGATATAGTATCTAGAGTCTCAAGAAAAGATTGGATGCCACCTAAGGAGGTGTCCTCACTATCATCATCAAAATCTTCAAGTGTAGGTTCATACACTAGATCTTCTAACGACTCTTCTATTACATCCTTTCGTTCTTCTATGACTAAGGCTCGGTTAGGACATTTGGAAGAGATGTGGCCACAGCTCTTACAGCTGATGCATAGCAAGTGAGAAGAAGTCCTTGGAGTTTCAAATATTTTACCCTTATTTTCTAAGATTGGAGGAACACTAAACGGGGGACATCCTAGAAGGGACTTAACGACAAAAAGTGGAGCCAATGAAACAGAAGAATGGTTGTCAATATGTCTTCTATATGGAGAATGGAGCCTTGGACTATCATGACCTTTACACTTTTTTTTTCCAAATGGGAGGGACACTAGACGGGGAATGCTCTATGACAGACTCGTGTTGAGGTGGTGCTAATGATGTGAGTGAATGATGGTGATCACGCTTTTCATATAGAGTACTAATAGACAACTCATAATATTCGGGCTAAAGAATAAGCGTGATCAAGAGTAGTAGCACCTCGAAGGAAAAGCTCACGCCTAAGATCATCTCTTTGACCTTGACTAAACCTATTCAAAGTCATGGTCTCATCCTCAATGACATGGCATTTGGTTTGAAATTTCTCAAATTGTGCAATATACTCAGTCACTAACTGACTCCCTTATTTAAGAGCATTCCATTGAGTAAAAACTTTAAAATCTAAGCAACCATCAAAAGTAGGAGTATCTAATTTAATGCCTCTAAAGAACTTCTCCTTATGACGAGAAAGTGAATGAGTACTATGACGATTACAACCTCGTTCTCGCTCACAAACCTGATCCCTATCACTACGATCGTGTCGAAAGCATTTTTGATCACTCTGTCGATGATGATATTGTCTATTATGGATCACTTTAGATTTATGAACATCGGTCGAACGAGGGGTTTGCTTAAAATGGCTCATTTTAGTAGCTAGGTTCTTTCTCTCCTCACGAATAGCAGCTTTATTGGATTGGATAGTCGTTAATTAAGTCTGAAACTGTTGTTGATTAGTGACAAGTTGGGCTAATTGTTGTGATAGTGCATCAAATTGAGAAGGATCAGTGGTCAAAGTATTAACATTAGGGATGACAAGATGACCACCCACAATTGCATATAATGTAGTAATGACTAAATGCAATGTATGAGGAGATTAATGAACAACAATTGCACATAAAAACGATATAGACTTGAGCAGTCATGATTTATTTTTTTTTGGGACTATGTAGATCCTATAAAGCAAGCTAATACTGCTGATCTATGTAAAATAACAAAGCACGGGTTAAATACTAGTCAACAAAGTAATGGCATAAAAGGTTAAAAGTGAAAAGTGAACAAGACAAGAGTTTGAATAGGTTTAGGGTGTTGGTTGTGTGAATTTTAGATAAAAGTGAAGAATAACACAGCACAAAAAAAATTAATCAATGCAATTTTAAAATGAACAATAATATAGACCAAATATAGATAAAATAGTAACTTTCCTCATTCATGGAGATGCTGTGTTGATTTGTCGAGATGTCAAGACAAAGAATTCCTGTGTTCCTTGAAACACGGTACTGATTAGTCAAATTAAAATATACCTGCAACACAATGTTACGAAATTCTCTCTCTCTCTTTTTTTTTTTCCTTTTTTTTTCTCTCTTTTTTCCCCTTTTTTTCACTTTCACTTTCAATTTTATTTATTTATTTATTTATTTATTCTCTTTTTTTTAACTTTTTTTTTGACACAAATCAAAACAACTAATAACTCTTACATAATCAAAATAGGGGACAAATTGAGGCCCAAAAGATACACTACCCACACATTAACAAATGGCCAACATTAATACATTGTCCACTACAATTGAGGCCCAAAAATCAAACAGGAAAGAAGGGGCTAAATTCTGGAAAAGACTTCGTGATTTTACTGTGGAAATTGCGGCGTATTAAACTCAGCAGTTGGCATCCTTCGGCGTTACAAGTGGAGGCGACGGTTGCGGGGTGGGTATCCCGAGGTGTCGCGAGTGGGTCGAAATCGAAGAAGGCGATGGCTTGACTTCTGGGTTACTGTGATGGCTGTACTAGTGGTGCGTTTGTATATATAGATTGTGAGAATGTCAGATATTGAAGTGGATTATGGGCCTCTTTGTGGCGGTTGATTGTGTGGGCGGTTTACTAAAATATTTGGCAAGGTTATAGTTGGTGGTTCACGCTGGCGGAGTTCTTGGAGATGGAGGATAGTGGGGTGGTTTTCAACACATCTTTCGGTGAAGCTATGGAGGAGACTGGTGCTAGACGAATATCAGATGTAATCGGCTTGGTTGGACAGCATTTAATGAAGGAAATCAAGGTTTTGGAAAGATGACAGGAGTGGGTTTTGGTAGTAATGTATTTGATTTGGTGGTAATATTATTGATATGTAGATTCCAGTAATATGTAGAGAATTTAGAGTGCAAAGCGAACTTCCTTTGACAGACTTGTTTAAGCAGGAGAGTGAAGTATTCTCAAGTTTTGGCTCTGATACCACTTTGATGCCGGATTAAAGGGTATGATTGGACAACGAATCCAGTTGCCAAAATCTCTGTAAGAAGCTCGTGTCATAACTTTGAATTTAACATATCGTGTTCTCTCAATTTCTTTAATTGCTACAAGTTAATTTCAATTATATCATATATTCTAGATCATAATGCCAAACCTTATAGAAAGATATTGATAAAGTGAATTTATAAGAAACAAAGGCGAACATTCTATAACAATTGTTGATTCTCTCAAATATCGATTTGGGTTGATTTATGATAAGAATTGGTTGGACTTATGCTTACTTAGGGGGTGTGAATTTGGATTATCTTGATCATCTTACTAATTTGGATATTATTGCGAACTGAGCTAATTGGAAATCATATAACAAAATTTCAATCAATAAAATGGTATGAAAACATTTAATTCAAGGGTTAGGGAATGAGACATTCTTCTCTGCCAATAATTCTTACAAAGCCCCCGTTTGGCTCTTTTTTTCTTCTCACTCTTACTTTCAACCACACAATCTTCCATAAAATAATATTACACGTAAATCGAAAATATTTTTTTTTTCAACCACACACTCTCCAACAAAAACACTATTCAATTAAAACATTAAAATTTAAAAGAAATGGGGCCAAACGGAGGACAAAAAAAAAAAAGGTAAAGTCATACTATGTTTACAAATTACAACGTATCAAGTAATCAAATTCAATTTGATAGACTTTATGTAGATCTCTAATAATTGTATAAAGAATATACTAAAAGTTATTTCAATTACATCAAAATAAAATTAAATATCACAAACTACACTTAAAATATGCTATAACGAAAAGTTTTGGGATTGAAATGTAACTTATAAAAAGTTTGGGCATTGATTTGAACACATTCGAAACTTGAAGATGTCAGTTTTGGAATGAATATTGAGATTTAGGAATCAATAGGGAAGTCTCTAATAGATTCGATGTCAAAGTCGAAGATTTGAACTGTGGAACGAAATATGATCAAATATGTACTAACAACTTGAAGTATGGACAAAATCACAAATATGTGCTAGCTTAATTCTGATATATTTTGTCATTATTTTTAGGTGGAGGAATTTTTATGTAGTTTGTGTTTACCATTGGTGTGAGAATTTTTGCCAAATAATTGAATATAATTCTAATTTTTTACTTTTTTTCACAAAGATTCGAAATTAAACCGATGAGCAAGATTGACAATTAAATTATTTGTTTCAAATACAACTGAATTAGTAGTGGAGAGTGATATTAGTTTCTCGGAGTGATAGAAAATCACAGAAGAAAAGAGGACTTGGAAGCTTGGCAGGCAGGTTATATTAGGATCTTGGTTTGGGAATTGCTGCTTGATTCTCCTTTATAGAATGCACAACGCAGGGGAAAATTTGTGGCTATTTATTTCCTAAGCAATCAAATGACTATTAATCTTGCTGCATTAAAACTTTGCCATAAATCTGTAGTTACAAACAACTTGTGGCGATTGAATCACTTGGATGTTTTACATCTTCTACTTTGTTAATATGAGATATTTGACATATTTTTCTTGAAGCTAATACTTCATTACTTTCTAAATGTACATGTTTGACTAAAGTTGTGGAGCTTTTTTTTTTCTTTTTTTTTTTTCCCTTTTTATAGGAATTCTCATTTAATAAAAGAGTGGATTGATGGTGAGTTGGAAGCATATTTTGGACCCAAGAATGTTAGTTTTTTGCTATTTCTTCCATATTTCTAGTTCTGTTTTCTAATTTTCAAGTTTGGTGAACAACCTTAAATAGTTTGACCTTGAAATTACTATTATAATTTGTTTGTATTTGTTTTGGTTTTGGAGGTAGTCATGTTTGTAAATAATACATTGGTCTATATTTATTTTGTTGACAGTAATATGATTTTTTTATCTATTTTAATATTATTTATATGTTAATAATTTTACTTTGAAGCATTCTTTTCATAAAGTCACGAGCTATTTCAATGAAGTTACATTTTCAAATAAATGTGTACTGTATTAACAATTCTATTGCGACGAAATAAATTGAAAATCATATGTTTAAAATAGAACCTCCAACATGGATAAATAAATGTAGAATAAATTAGGTAACAATTATAAATTTTTGAAGCGACAAACTTTTTGTGTTGCAAAAAAAATTTAACTACGAGCACAACTATAACTTGCGTAATAATTTTATATGTTGTAAAATAAAATATGCGACATATATAAATAATCACAAAATACATTAAACAACAACTACGCATCGTTGCACCAATGAAGACGCAATAACTTTCTGTGTTGCGAAATAAATTTAATTACAAACACGACTTGTTACATAATATATTTTACTAAAATGTTGAATACATTAAAATATATTGTGTGACATATCAAACATATTGTAAAACATATTTCTCGACAAATAATACTTGTCATTAAAAATATATTAATACGAGCACGTGTTGTTGCAAAATAAAATAGGTAGTGAAAATTACACCTTTAAAAAAATATTAGCAACAATCTCGTAAAAACTTTATTGGAATAATTGTTGCGACAAACTATCATGTAACCTTTTTTTTTTTGTTGCGACATATATGCATTCCGACGACATATGGCTACGAATATCATGTTGTTATTCTGTATTTTTTGTGTCAAATAAATAGTGTTATGATTTTGTTAAAACAATGAATGGCTAAAAGTTGTCACAGAATACATTCAATGACTCAACATTTGCAACAAATATATTTCACGTAAGAACTTTATTGAAATATTCGTTGCGGCAAATGACGTTTCGCCCTTTTAATTTTCTGTAACATATATACATTGCGACGACATTATAACTACATTTATTGTGTTGCTATTTTGGATTTTTTGTGTCAAACAAAAAAGTGTCATGATTTTGTTAATGCGATAAATGGCCGAAAGTCATTGCAATAGAAAAATGGTACACAAAATATTTTTCATATACAATTCTAACTTTTGGCAAATTATAGTTTTTACGTTTACCTTTTCTTTACCATTAGATAATTCTTTTGACGAAATATGATTTCCTTACATCTTCATTATACTATGTGGAGTGAAAGTGCAATTTTTAGTTCAAATTTAAGAAGAAAATAGTAGCGACCAACTTGCGAGTCGAATCCCACTTTTGTACAACAAGCCAACTCGTGCTTGCCTCATTTCGTTTAACACCCTTAGGCCTAGTACAACTCATACCACGGGTTAGGCCAACAAAATTAAAATAAGGTTCGACTTTGTAGCCCTACGGATGGACCCAGGCTTTGAGCTTGTGGTGACATTATGGCAATTGATGGTGCAAAAGCTCAGACGATAATATGATACCTGCTTAAGGTATTGGACAATGCAATTTATAGAGAAAGTGGTATTTGAAGAAAATAATAAATCATTTATTGCATTCAAAATTTTTTGTTACGAAAACATAAAACAAATTATTTTTGGTTTGATCATATATAAATTATGCAAATTAAACTAATGTTCGGGGAATAAAATGTTCTTTTTAAATGTTGGGGACAATTTTGCTAGAAATGCTAAAATTTGTGGAATAATTGACATCAAAAGAAATATAACGTTGGAGATATTTGAACCCGAGTCTGTCCGACCAAAAATTGATAATTTTACCACAAGACTACCTTGAAGATTGTTCATACATTTCTAATGTTCCATTTACATTTTGTGCGACTCGAATGTATAAATTTTCTCTACATAAAACAAAGATTGTAAATCATGGGGGCGGGGGCAGGGCAGTTGACAGCGTATGCTGTATCTTTATCCATTTCACTTAAGTTAAATTGAATTAACTAAGGACTAAATCTTAAGTGTGGTGTGCCCACCCAATGCCGAGACGCCACCTCGGTGGGTGGCCCACACACCTCGTGGATGTGTGGTGGGCCACCCGCCGAGGAGGCGTACATATGGTGCGACCACCTCCATTGAAATTTCTCTCCTTTATAGGAGTAAAATATTTTTAAAACAAAAAAGTTACATGTGTGTGTATATAACATATAAACCCGCTAAGGGAAAAGGAAATTGACATTCGAATTCAATTGAATATCTGCATAGAATTTTGTAATGATGTTAAGAGATTATTTGGCCGGCAATGGTGGCAATACATGACTTTATCGCCCAATTTTAATATTAATACAAAGAGTGTCATCTTATTTAACTGAATGTATTTGTCTTGAAGCAGTGTTGGTTCTAAGTTTATAATATTATAATACATATTTGTTTTTATATAATTATACAATTAGTCGTCCAAGAAAGTGATGCATAATTTGATTTGAAATAAAAAAAAAAAAAAAAAAAAAAAAAGAGAGAGAGACACTTTTCTATTTGTCTTGAATCCTTAATTGATTCAACTTTTTAGAGATGTGATGCATTACTTGAAGAGATAAAAAATAAAAAAATAAAAAAATTCCATTTTTCTTTAATGATGGGCAGCACCACCATCACACAAACGGTAGCATTTTTGTTGGAAATCTATAGTTAATGTCCTCTTATTCTCCTTTTTGACCCTATGCACTTTCTTTCTTATTCAAGTGATGGAGTCAAATCTTGAATCCTTAGCTCTCTATGACATGAATTCATTAGTTGATCCTGATACCAGCGAGTTAGATATATTAAATTGAACAAGATTTGACCTTGGAACAAACGTCTCGAATATCTTCGATCATTTTCTATTAGATATGTAATCGAGACCTAACCTTGAAAATAATTGAAATGTGAGCAAAAAATAAAAATAAAATATCTTTGCTGTTATTAGAAAGAGTTAATAAAATACGAAACTCATCATTATTTAATCAAAATATTGTAAGATAGAGATGCTGAAGTACAAATACTATGGACAAACAATAAAAAGACAGGCCAGCAGTCCAACAGAGGCTTACAGCTTGTTTGGATAATCTTAAAACTATGTCAAATTTACTTTTAAGTAAACATTTTGTTTCAAAACACACTTGAATATGTAGCTTTTTTCCTTCTTATTTTTCTATGTAAGAAATGTACCTATTTTGATTTATGAAGCACGAAATTACTTTCAAAATAATTAACATTTTCCCCAACAAAAGAAATTCTTGTTTTAGAACTCACTTATTTACTTATAAGTAAATTTTTTAAGCTTAGCCAAACATCCACTAAGAAGCAAACAAATAGTTCTCTCTGATGATTCAAGTAACCTTCTTTTAACTATATAAAAAAACAAGGATAATATGCAAGCATTATGCAAATTGTTGAGTCATTGACATTATCAAATTAGATGCATTGAATTCTCAAAACTAAAATATTTAATGCAGCAAGTTTCTTAGTTTTGTGTATCAGTCATTGAGTTAGGTTTGTTGCTCTCCATATCATATCCTCAACTCATTTAACAAAGAACAGCAGTTGTGAAAAAAGGATGGCTTCTTTCTCAGTTGAGGATTTTATTGGGAATGGATCTCTGAAAAAAATTCTCCCAAAGCTTCTGGAGGAAGGCTGGGATGATGTCCCAACTCTAAAGGTTATGAATTCCGAGGACATGGATGATCTAGGCATGACTCGACAGCAGAGGGTTAGTTTACCATCAGAATCTTCTTAATCTTATTATTCATGAGAATCTTCCCTTTATAAAGGAATGAAAATGACAGAGTCTATGTATCATTTTTCCATACGTGCAACTAATGCAATTTCAGTGATAAATCTATTTTCCCCTTGTGTTGAATATGTGACCCAAATTACGATGTTGGATCATGTTTTAGTTGAAAATGAGTTATAAAGGGGGATTAAAGTTGATAATTGGAGTTTAGAGTAGCAACGGGACGCCTAGGCGCCAAGAAAAGAATTTTGGATCCGAAACTCAACGTCTGAGCGCCATTGAAAGCGCCAGCCCGCTGCTCACTTTCTGCTTGAGCGCCGCATGGTGCTTGCCTTGCGCTAGGCTGCCACTGTTATTCGGGAAATATTTCTTTCCTTCTATTTGGTTCTTTTTATCCTCTTTCCAACCATAATATATTCTTTTGAATTCTATATATAATCCCAGTTATGTTATAAGTACAGAAAAACTTAACAGAATTTTTATGGATGAATACTTGACAATTATTCATTGGTTTTGGACCCAAATATGAAAGAAAATACACCACCACCTGTATGGATTCTGTACACAGGGAATAATTCATATAATCCACAAATTGTATGACTTGTATGAGTTAGACTATTAAAACACAATATTTCGTATTCGTTCTCCATAATAATAAAATCTTCATTCCTCTGTCAAATTTCTTATGTTCTTCTTACATTGTGATTGCTACTTCATATTTTGTGAAACACCTTGTTATTATCTAATAAGTAGTATTAGCATGCATAACTACTTTGTTAGATTTGTTAAAACCTTGTATCTTTTTTATTAAAGAAATCTAGCACGTCCTTTCTTTTGTCAATTTTCAAAGATATCAAGAATAGTCATCGTTCTAAATGTTGACTCTTTATCCAACCCAAGGATGCGCTAGAAATTAGGTCATACCTGCATGATCGGGGGCTGGTGCAGTACGGAGATAAGCTGGAGTCCTCGGAGAAATGTCTTCCTGAGCTTCTCAGCTTGTCAACTGTGGATCTTTCTTCTCAGTTCGGAATGAAAAGGGGCCATATTGCTCGTTTTATGGACCGAACCAGTGCATGTGGCATAGGTCCTTTACCAGCATCATATTCTCTCCCAGCAAGAAAACGAAGCACTATTCCTTCAAGAAATAATAGCATGTATAAGAGTGAACTTTCATCTGTTAATTCAAGAAAACTGCAAAGTGTGACCAAATCCCCTGGACGAAGCAGTGCAGGTTATGATTTATCCCTAGAGCAATCCAAGGCAAGTTTTAAAATAAAAGATGGACATGTATATAAAGGAATTGTGGCTGCAATGCCTGCAGAACCTAGAGCATGTGGATGTATACAACCTCCTGAAATAGTTGAGAACGTAGCCCCTTATTCCTCGATTGAGAATATCTCGATTCAGAAACTAACTCCAGAATATAAGATTGGAGTGGAGCGTTTGGTGAAAACTAGCACACCTCCGATGAAGGCTTCAGAATTATGGCGTGAGAAACCAGCTATACTCCTCTGCATCCGTCGACCCGGGTACCATTTTTATGAATATACTGCACTTGACATCAACTTACCTTGTTATCTGTGAATTTCATGCTTGGAATATGCCACAAGGCCTATAACCGTACATCACAAACAAAAGGGAATTTGTAAATATTTAGAAAGCAAGATATGTAAATAGGTTTAGCCAACATTTTGAGAACGATTCTTCTGCATATATCTTAGTGGATTTTTGGTCTTGTTATTGAACACGTGTACAAGATATTAGAAGACGAAGAAAATATCAGGAAACATGGATTTTAGAAAGATAAATGGCTATGCATTATATCTTCTTTTGCTGAATATCGAATATGCTATGGCAATGCTCATGTTCGTACTTATTTCGGTAAACAGGTGTATCATGTGCAGAGCCGAAGCCCACCAACTATATACCAAGAAACCCATATTTGATGCACTCGGGGTCCAACTATTTGCAGTACTTCACGAGCATATAGATTCTGAGGTATATTTTTCAACTCACATGATCATGCACGGCAACTGGCTTATGGATGCTCAATTATTTCATTCAATGGTTTCAGGTAAAAGACTTCTGGCCCAGATACTGGGGTGGTGCCATGCTGTTTGACAGAGGCATGGAATTTTTCAAAGCCCTAGGTGGGGGGAAGCTGCTGAAAGATAAGTTCATATCTGGTTTTCTATTCAACCGTAGAGCAATTGCAAATTATAAACGAGCAAAGGCCATGGGAGTGGACCAAAATTTTAAAGGTGAGGGTGAGATAAAAGGTGGCCTCTTCATAGTTGGTAAAGGAAAGAGTGGCATTGCTTACCAGTTCATTGAGAGAAACTTTGGCGATTGGGCACCTACTGCAGAAGTCGTAGAAATCTGTACTCATTTCCAGGTAGTTTTCTAATGCCTTACTGTAACTTCTTTCCTGTACAAAATGAATCATACTGAGCTATATTTTAAGCTCATGCAGAATCAACAGAGAAGTCAGTTTGAGTCGACAAAATCAATTCAAGGAGAAGAGGAGGTTGGTTTCTAAGAAGAAGAGAGTTATTAGGCTTCTGTTTCAGTAACAACGTCGTACTCATTCTGACTTTTAAGTTCTCAAACTCTTTGTAACTATGGGAACAATATACCAATCGCATATTTCATTTGTTGTATGATTTTCTTCTACTTGACATGAATTATTGAGTTGTATCAAAAGGATGCATGATTTGTTTATTTTATCAATTCAAAATGTCCAAGCTAAAGAAAGGTGAATGAATATGTATATTACACTGTTCTAGTTGGATAATAAACCTAACTATTGAATGATCGTCAAACCCACCATATGTTAAATTGTTAGATAGAAAGTAAAAATTGAAAAGATAAAAGTTCAATAAAATGACATCTATGATCTATATCAGTTTCCCTATGTGTACGTTATGATGCTTAAATGATTGCTGCATGTCAATCAGGAATTCGAAGATGATTTATCTGTATTACAATACAAATAAAAGATTATTTTGCAGTTAACTTCTTACAGGTATTAAAGTGAGCTAAATAAACTAGTAACAGTCATATGATAAAATAGACTATAATAAAAAATAAAAAATAAAAAATAAAAAATAAAAATAAAAATTTAAAAATCGAGGTGACATTTTCACACAGAATAGCATAGTTTTAGTTGCAAAAGGAAAATGGAATATCCAAAATGTTTTTCCATCATTATAACTAATGTGCTATCTACCAAAAATTCAATCTTCACAATCAGCTTATCAAACACATAATGTTTCACTCAATTTGATGTTGCAGAAGTTTGTTATAGTAGCACTCATTTATATCTGAACAGAGACTACTATTTCTCTCTCGATTCAGCTTGAGCTGGAGGAACCAGAAATCATACCTTGTCTAGACGAAACCACAATACCGCTAGTGAGAATCTTCATACGAGTAAATAGATGAGCAATTCAGCATCTAGTAAACTGATAACCTTTCATGAGAAACGGATGGAACTTGGCCGATGAACGTCGAATGTATACTTAAACAGGAATACAATATCACAGCTTTAGGCCTTTTTAATGATATATTTGGAGGTTTCAGCATCCTCCATGGTATCTTTAAAATGTTTATGAACCCCAATACCAGAAGTCTCCAAAAGAACATTTTCAGATAAATGGAAACATACAATTTCTCTTACGAAATTCTCTCTGTAGGTGATCTTTGCAATTAATTTAGTTGTATTATGGAAGTTAACTTGTCCACGGAGATTTTTCACTTCTTTTATAGGCACCCAGGAGGAATAAAAAGAAAACCAAATGCAATAACCATTTTTCTCTATGATAGTTCAACATATTGTTTTCAACGGTTCCTCAACATTGTGTAGAACAGAACTCGTGTCTGGAACATATTCCTCCTCTATCATTTTATAGTTTAGTTTCTCCACCCCTTCATATATCTGATCTGAAAATGGACTTGACTTATCATCAGCAGAGAAAATGGGTACTATGTTCTTATTCTTGATCCAACTAAATCCAAGATCCTTTTTCACGTCCTTATCTCTCATTCCTCTCCTTAACTGAGACGCATGAATCGCATGATCCAAGTTTCCCTTTGCAGCATACATGCTAGCAAGCAAAACGAAACCAGCAGAATCATGAGTCTCCAATTCCAGAAGACATTCTGCTGCCCATTTCTCTATTGCCAGGCTACCACAATTTCACAAGAACTCAGTAATATAGCCCATCCAATTGGATCAGGACGACAAAGCATTTTGAGTATGAAAGTTTTTGCTTCTTCTTACAGTTCGATTTGACTCCATAGATCAATCATGCAAGCGTAGTGATCAAGAATTGGCATAACTCCATATTTTTCTGCCATTGATGCCAAATATTTTCACCCTTGCTCCACAAGTCCAGCCCTACTGCAAGCCAAATGAACACCAATAAACATAAATCCACTGGGTTGGAGATCATGAGGTAACATTTCCTCAAATAAACTAATTGTTTCCCTAGCTTTTCCAAACTCTGCATAGCCAAAAACTAATGCACTCGTCTCATTAAACAAAAAATGAGATTCTTCTGTGCTGCCACATTTCCCATACAGTGTTACAATTGCATTAGAAACTGTAATGAAGGAAATTAAGCCAGAAACTAGTGGTTGACCATGAGTTGGGCTCCCTCTTCCAGGCTAGCAAGATTTGCGCTAGAGCTAATCACACTACCTAGAGTAAGATCATCTGACCTAATCCTATCTCTCTGTGTTTCGCAAAAATTCGAACATCATCATCCCTGTACCCATTCTGGCCATAACCCATCACCATTGCAGTCCAAAACACAATTCTTTGTGCATAACCCTCCTAAAAACTTTTCTGCATACTTAATTCTTCAACACTTAAAGAGTACATGTCAACCGGCAAACTGTTCTACAAAATATTATCCACATAATCAGTTTAATTATATAAGCATGAATCTGATTGCCTCCTCTGATTGCCACAAGACCTCCACAAGCAGTAAAGATGCTCCCGAAAGTAAAATGATCCATATCCAATTCAGTGCTTCTTTTGTCAACCCATTCTGTTTTAGCCCTGTGACCATTGTAGTCCAAGTAAAGTAATCGAGTTCTTCTCAAGCATAATCCTACATAAATGCTCAGGCTTTTCCACCTTCCCACATCTCATAAAACCCATAATCATAGTGTCAAATTCCTATCAGGTAACTCATCAAATATGAGTTTTTCCGCACATGTTGAACAAAATTTTGCATACATGTCAGCCAAAGGACTTCCCACAAAAACATATGACTCAAATCCCCATTTCACAATTTGCCCATGAATTCCCCAACCCAAATCAACCCACCCTGTTGGGACCGGTGGAAACAAAACGCAAGAATTGAGATTTACTGGACACCAATTTGAAGTATAATACAAGATCGCAAAATACCACTAACAAGATTAAAGTAAAAGATAGAGGAACGACGAATTTTATTAATATAGAGAGAATTACAACTGGACAGCAATGATCCTTCAATAAAACTGACAGATGAGCCTTGTTTTTATAATACACTTGGTCTAGCCCTTAAAAATGTCCCAAAAAAGGATTGAAATATATAATTCAATTAAACTCCTATTTGAGTCATACTTCTAACAATCTTCACCTTGACTCAAATTCCAGTACAACGAACAAAACTCCTAGATTTCAAATTCGTCTGCAACAAAATGAACTGACCAATCTCCTCAATGCAATAACCAAGCTCTCCATCACCAAACCATCGTCCTCTGCACGACGTCCACAAGCGACACCCGAACCCAAAACCCGAGTTCTCGAAATTCCAGCAAGGAATTACTGTTGACCAAACAGGATCGAAACACACACTGTAGCAGAAATCATACCACATGCTGGATCAGAAAGTCCCTTGGCAATATTGTCACCTTCAATGATTTCTAAAGCATTACAGACATCTCCAAAACTGCATCGACGCTCCATGAGTTCATTGGCATTACAAGAACACAGTGTACCCGCTAAAATTGGTGGCAAAGCGGAATCACCAACACTCCCTTGAGCAAAGTTCTTAACTAACCCAGAGCCAAACCCGAGAGGTACTGTAACAAATTGAATGTCCACCACGGTACTGAACTTGTCCAAATGTCTCTGAACTGGTTCTGCGCTCCCCTGCAAGATGTACAAGTGGGATTTCCTCCGTCCCTCCAATACAACCCGGACACCCCTTCGAACCTTCAAGACTCCACCTCCACCAGAAAATTTGTACCCTTTTTCATCTAAGGTACTCAGTGATATGAGATTCTTTGTCAAGTCTGGAACATGGCGAACCTGATCAAGTATCCTCATTGTTCCATCCTGTAGCCTCAATTTGACCCGATCGATTCCTGCAACCCGACAAGATTGGTTGTTTCCCATGACAATTCCACCTTACTTCACCATTTCATATGTTTGAAATAAAGCCCTATTGGGACACATATGATACGAACAAGTAGAACCCAGAATCCACTCCTCAAGTTTGGATTCTCTGTTAGATTCAGCCAACATCACATCTCTATCATCACAAAAATTTTCAGCAATATTAGTCTCATTCGAATTACCTGATTGCCCCGCATGATTTGGATGTAAATCACCTTTACCCTGCAACTTGTCGCAATCTTTCTTAATGTGTCCTTTCCTCTTGCAGTAATAACAATACACATTGCTGTACCTCACCTTCGATCTATCCTTCCGTCGATCACCATGAGTAACAAGAGCATCCCCACTCCTAGATGTAGGATCTCCAACCAACAGCTCCATCTTCTCCTTTGAGAACAGGGCGTCGTATACATCCTCAATGGATAACGTGTCACGACTATACAGAATAATATCACATAATGACGAAAAAGAATTGGGTAGCTAACACAATAGAACCAAGGCTAGATCCTCTTCATCATATTTTACCTCCAACGTCTCCAAATCTGCAACGATCTCCTTGAACACAGCAAGGTGGTCCTGCAGTGACCCTCCTTTCGCCATGCGATGAGAATACAACCTCTATTTTAGAGTCAGTTTGCTCGTCAAACTCTTTGTCATGCACAACTGCTCCAGTTAGAACCACAAAGCAGTCGCTGTCTTCTCCTTCAAAACATCTTGCAGCAAATTGTTGAATAAATGAAATTGGATTTGCGCTAAAGTCTTCCGATCCTTCCGTTGTTTCTCCTTCATAGACAAGTTTGCTGGCATCCTATCAAAACCTAGCAAAGCATCATCAAGATCCATCTGTGTCAACACAGCTCTCACCTTTACTTGCCACAGCGAAAATCTTGTATTGCAATCCAATAGCTGAATTTCATATTTCAACGAATTCATCCTTGAAAAATTTCAACCAAATCACAAAGAACCTGCAACCTACAACACCCAAAACTGAAAACTTCTGAACTTGCAAGGGGCAAAATTGTGGGCAGTCTAGAACCACAATTTTGCCCAAAACTGAAATTGGACACCACCACAAGGTCCGTCTCGTCATCCTGAGAAAACTGCCTAAAGACACCGTCGCCGGAAAGCCCCTCACGCGCCGCCACGCGCCTTGTCAAAAAGTTCCACCCGCCGGCGACTGTCAGGTCACGCGCCGGCAAACTGTGACCCTTTCTGGACCGTCTCTACCTGCTGAGTCCATTAGTAGTGTTCGTTTCTCCAAAAGGTAAGTAGTTTCACTGAAAAACGCACAAACAGATCCTGTAGAAAATCGAAAAAC